TTTATCTGACATGTCATTACTAAATATGTTTTCCCAGTCTGTGGCTTCCTTTTTCACTCTGTTGGAGAAATTTTTGGATGTGCAAAGAGATTTTATTCTTAGAAGGTCCTACTCATCTATTTTATCCTCTCCTTGTTGTAGGTTTTTCAGGATGCTTAGAAGACTGTATATGTTGTGAATTAGGGCTTCTAGGGTTCTTCCAAGCTTTTCTTTAATGAAGTTTATAGTTCTTGGGTTTAGTGCTAGGTCCTTGATCCACTTTGAGTTGGTTTTTATGTATGGTGTGAGGTGTGGGTCTTGTTCGAGTTTTCTGCAGATGGTTTTCCAATTTGGCCAACATCATTTGTTAAATAGGCTGTCATTTCCCTGCTTAACTGATTTCATCTCCTTGTCAAAAACAGTTGACCATAGGTAGATGGGCTAATTTCTGGGTTTTCAATTCTATTCCATTGATCTACGTGTCTGCCATTGTACCAGTACCATCCTGTCTTGACCACCATGGCAGTATAGTAGGATTTGAAATCAGGTAGTGACATGCCTCCTTCCTTGTTTGTCTTTTTACAGAGCGCTTTGCTTATTCGGGGTCTCTTTCCATTCCAAATGATACTGGAGTTTGCCTTTTACATCTCCTTGAAGAATGGGATTGGTATTTGTATTGGGATTGCATTGAATGTGTTGTGTATTTCTAAGTATTTGTCTGTTTTCTCTAGGTTTTCATATTTGTTTGTGTATAGTTTTTCCATAATATTCCATTGTTAACCTCTTTATTTTAGTTGGTTTCGTTGTGACTTTTCCCATTCCATCTCTTAGATTATTTGTCTTTTCCTTCTTTTCTTTTGTTAGTTTTGCTGTGGTTTGCCAATTTTATTGACCTGTTCGAAGAAGTAACTCCTAGTTTTGTTGATGGTTTAAATTCTTTTTCTTTTTTCCATTTCATTTATCTCTACCCTAATTTTTATAGTTTCACTTTTTTGGATGATGTTGGGTTTTCTTGCTGTTCTTTTTCAATTTGTTGGAGATGTTGGGTTAAAAATTCAGTGGTCATTTTTTTCCAGTCTCTTAATGTGTCTTGAACTGCTTTACTGCTTTGGCTGATTCCCAGAGGTTTTGATAAGTGGTGTTTTCATTGTCATTTATTTAAGCAACTTTTTAATTTCATTTTTTATTTCTTCTAGTACCCCCTTCAAGCAAGGTGTTGTTCAGTCTCCAGATATATGTTATTTTCTATTTTATCCTCTTGTCATTAATTTCTGATTTTGTAGCATTGTTGTCTGAGATGCTTTGTATTTATATTTGTTTAATTTATTGATACTTTGCTTAGATCCTAAAATGTCATCTATTCTGGAGAATGCTCCGTGCACACGGGAGAAGAAGGTGTACTGTGCTTTTTTAGGGGTGCGTTAGCCTGTAAATATCTATGAGATCGAGTTGGTTTATTTTGCGTTTTACTTCTTCAGCATTTTTGTTGAGATTTTTTTCTGGAAGTTCTGTCTTGAGAGTGTTGTATTGAAGTTGCTAACTACTATAGTAGTTTTGTCTACTTTCTTTTTCAGTTAATGTTTGTTTTATATATTTTGCAGGTCTTTCTTTTGGGGCATAGATATTTATTATTGTTATGTCTTCTTGTTATGTTGTTGTTATTGTTACGTACCATTGAGCTGCTTGCGACTCATAGCGACCCTATGTACAAGAGTTCTAAAATCCGTTCTATCCTGTGCCAACCTCTCCATCTCAAACACACTTGTTCCCACCACTCCACTCACAGAATCGATCCATCTCATCAAGGGTCTTTCTCTCCTGAGACGTCCCTCCACTCTCCCAAACATGATGTCCCTCTCCAAGGACCAGTCCCTCCTTGAAACATGCCCAAAGTATGTCAGATGAACCTTTAGAATCCTTGACAACAAGGAGCATTCTGGCTTCACCCTCTCCAGGACAAACTTGTTTGTTCTCCTAGCAGTCCATGGTATATTCAGCACTCTTCTCCAGCATCCCAGATCAAAGGCATCAATTCTCCTGCTGTCATGCCTATTCACTGTCCAACTCTCCGATGCATAGCATGTAATTGCAAAGACTATAGCCTGGATCAGGCGCACCTTAGTTTCCAGCCTGATGTCATTGCTCTTCAGTACTCTTGAGAGGTCCTTCACTGCTGTATGTATCAGTATTTATGCATTCCATTTCTTTCTTAACAATGTCCAGTTTTACTACAGTCATGCTTCTCATATTCCACGTTCCAATCACTAGTGTCTTCTTAACAGCTGTTTTCTTTCTCTGTGTTTCCATTTCTAGGGTCTCAGTTTCAGTTGCTCTGCCTGTTAGTCCAAATGATGGTCTAAGTGTGCTCTCTTGTACATAAGGTTTTCGATGGCCTGTAATTTAGGAAGTGAATGGCCAATCCTTCTTCCCTTCTTGTATATTTACCCCTTAATCATTATGTAGTTACCTTCTTTGTCCTTTATAATAGTTTTTGCATTGAAATGTATTTTATCAGAAATTAATATCGCCACTCCTGCTTTTTTTTCTGGTTGCCATTTGCTTGGTATATATTTTCCCACCCTTTTATTTTTAGTCGTTATCTTCAGTTTTCAGATGTGTCTCTTTCAGACAGTATATTGATGCATTTTGGTTTTTTATCCAATCTGCTGTTTTTCTCTTCAGTGGTTCATTTAAGCCATTTACATGTCACATGATTTTTGAGAGGCAAGGTTTTGTTACTATCATTGTGTTTAGTTCTTTTTAATGTTGTTGCTTGTTACTTTCATCCATCCTGCCTTTTTTTGCACTTCTATAAGAATAACGTCCATCTCTCAGTATTTCCTGCAGTGCTGCTCTTGTTTTTACAAACACTCTTAGGTTCTGTTTTTCTGGGAGTACCTTGATCTCTCTTTTTCATATTGGATGGACAGTTTTTCTGGGTATAATATTCTTGATCGACAGTTGTGTTCTTTGAGTGTTTAGTATGTCATTTTATAGTCTCCTTGCTTGCCTGGTATCACCTGAGAAATTGGCACTTAATCTTATTTGCTCTCCCTTATAGTTTACTCTTTGTTTCTCCCACACTCCTTTCAGTATTCTCTCATCTTTGGTTCTGACAAATTGACTGTGATACGTCTTGGTGTTTTTCCTTAAGAGTCTAGTCTATATGGTTTTCTCTTAGGTTCCTGAATATATATTCTCTCATCCTTCATTATGCCTGAAAGTTTTCTTCTAATAATTTTTCCACAACTTTTTCAGTGCCTTTAGTTACTTCTTCTTGTTCTGGGATTAAGATTCTGTGCATGTTCTTTCTCTGGATGGTGTCCCACATTATTTTTACATTTTCTTCTTTTTCCTTCTTTTTTGATTCTGCTTTTTGTTTTAGCAGGTCTGTGGTGACGAGTCTATCTTCTATTTCACTAGTTCTATGTTCCATCTCTTCAACTCAGTTCATGTGTCCCTCCATCATGTTGACAGCATCTGAAACAGTGGTCCTCATATTTTGGATTGTGGTTTCTTGTAATTCCAGAGCCTCTAATGCCTTGTTTGTTTTATCTGAATTGTTTTGGATTTTTTTTTAAGCTCTTCCTGTTTTTTTCTTATAGTGTCCTGTAATTCTTCAAGTTTGTCTTTCACTCATTGAAAATATTCAGTCATTGTTCTTTTAAATTCTTTGTCAGAAAGCTCCATCAGACTTTCTGGCTTCAGGAAATCCATTGATACTGTGTTAGTTTTTGGGTGTGACATCTTACTTTGGGCTTGTGCAGGGTTTGAAGTAGCCTGCTTCCTACATGACACTGCTTGGGTAGTTATTCTTATCTGAGGCGATAGTGGCTCTTGATCTAAAGTCAGCCCGCCAGAAAAGGGTGGGATAACTACCCTGCCTGGTTTTTTTTCTTCTGCCCCAAGGGAAAATATACTTAAGTTTCGTACAGAAAAGACTGGTGGAAGCAGCCTCTTCTGTTAGACAGCTGCCATTCCTAGAGTAGCCCAAAGTGTTCTGGGCTAAAGATAGTAAATTGGCTGGACGTGAAGAGACAGAGACCTGACTAGAAAACCAGGGAGCCTTGGTTTTCCCTTCAAGAATGAGCTCTAGGTGTCTCATTCCCTTCTTATTGAGCTTAACGGGTCCCACGTGCTCCAGCCAAACATCAGTTATCTCCCCACAAAGTATATCACTCAAGTTCTAGCATTTCCCCTAATATATGTCAGCTCCAAGAGTGGGCGTTGGTGTCAGGACCAGAATTCTGGTTGTGGGCCAAAGGCATCAGGACCAGAGTTCCAAGTGTGGGGTGTCAGCGTCAGTACCAGAGGTCTGGGTGTGAGGTGTTCGTGCTAGGACCAGGGTTCTAGGTGTTAGGATCAGAGATTGGTGCCATTGATGCTTATCTCTCCTTTTGAGTGTGCGCCATGGGTACCGGAGCTGTGGTTCTGTGCGTGCCGTGTGGGTGCCAGGGCCGGGGCAGAGTTTTGGGGCCAGAATTCCGGGCGCAAGACATGGGCACCAGGGATGGGGCCAGAGTTCTTGGCACAGGGCGTGGATGCTGGGGCCAGGCCGGTGTTTGGTTTTTTATTTTTAAGATCATAAAGCAAAAATTACCATCTTTCTCCCTTAATATTAATAAATAGTTTCTGCATTTTATAATTTTCGTGCTAGTTGTTATGTCCCATCAAGTTGCTGTGCACAATAGCTTTGATCCCTGTCCTATATTGTCCCAGTCTCACTGTCTATGACACACTTGCCCTCATTATCCCAGTTACCAACTCCTACTGGCCACATGCCCAAAGTATATGAGTCAGAGCTTTTAAATCTATGCCTCCAAGGGACAAATTGGTTTCACCCTGTACAGGAGAAACATGTTTGTTCTCTTGGCAGTCCATGGTATGTTCAGTAGTCTTCTTCAGTGAGGGTACACTTTTGACACTAAAACGATTATTCTTCAAAAGAGCATGATTATCAAGGCAGACATTTTATTACATTTCTGTATATCACTCATCATTTTAATTGTTTAATTTTTTAGGATGCCGAAAGCCATAATAAAGCATCAGGCCCAGAACCTCAGTATCTGGATGAGTTCACCAGTTTGTTAATCGCAGATGATACCCGAGTCCTGGTAGATCTCCTCAAGCTGTCTGTCTGTAGCCGTGCTGGGGAGAGGGGCAAAGAAGTTCTCTCAGCTGTTCTGTCAGGCATGGGCACTACTTACCCTCAGGTGAGTTATTTCTCCTTGGCTGCAGGCTCAATTTCTGACAGGGAAATGTCTGTTGGCAATTCATATCACTTTCTGTTTGCTTTTAATCTAAAAGAAGGTTGTTTAGAACGATTGTTAAAAAGCATTTGGGTCAACTCCTGGTGACATTTCTTAGCTATTGTTGTGCCAGTTTATATACTTCTTACTTATTTGTTAGGGAGCTCTGGTGGCCTATTGAGTGGTAAGCTGTGCTGTAATCCCAAAGACATACAGTTGGAATTTCATCAGCTGCAATGTGGCAGACGGATGAGCAGTCTCTTCAATGTGGTTTACTATCTCCGAAAACCTGCTGGAGGGTCAGGTGTTGTCAGTTATCGACTAGATGACAGTGTGTTGAATATGTACCTGTTTATTGTTCCATGCTATATTTGTTGTTTTGTTTTGTTTTTCTGATATACTACATTCAACCACAGCAGTTCTCTTTGATGATCCCTCCTTTATTCTTTCATCTATTTATTTCTTTTCCAATTTATACTAGTTTATTTTTTACTTTTGCTTTTGTGCTTTTCTTTTCTCTTTCATATTTTTTGCTTGTCCTTGTTTTCCTTTTATTTTGTGTTATTTTTGTTTCCCTTTTTCATTGTTTCCCCAAACAACATAAAGCAATGCTATCTAGCCACACATAAACTACCTGCAGCTTCTTCACATGTTGCAAAAGAGGGGAGAAAAACTCTTGCTCCACCTGTACCATCAAAATGTCTGTGAGGAAACAGAAAAGTGAAACATACAACAAACCAAAATTATGACTAACTTACAAAACTAGAAAATCTTTCAGATGAAGAAATGTTTCTGGGACTTCTTGATAAGGAATTCAAAAGAAAAATAGTTCAGTGTCTTAACAGACTTCAACAGAGAAAAAAGTCAAGAAAGACACAGAAAATAGAAATAGTTTAAAAATAACAAACAAAACAAATACAAGACCTAACAGAGAATATAAATAGGTAATTAGAAGCAATATAAAACCACTCAGACTGTAAGGACTATTAAGTTTCAGAAATGAATCACATAATATAAGGATAAAAGAATGGAATTAAAGAAATTAGAAATAGGCCTGGTGATATCTGTTAGGAGCTCTGGTGGATGAGAAGTAAGGAGTTTCACAGTTACCCCAAAGGCATACACCAACACTCTGATAGAGAAAGCCGGGTAGCTCACCCCTCATGTGACTTACTGCCTCTGAAAACCTGCTGGAGGGTCAGACATGAGTTGGTTCTCACTCGAAAGTACACAGCAACAACAGGCACAAACAGAAAGAAAATAAAGCATAAAATTATGTGGAACATCATTAGTAGGAATAACAGTTTGAATTCCAGTACTGAAGAGAGTAAAACAAAGGGGGAAAAGCACAGAGGAAATGGTTGAAATTTACTGTAGGTAGAAAACATACACTCAAGAAACTGAGCAAACCCCACAGCCACTAGAGCCAAAAAAACCCCCACCAAGACATAGAGATATTTTCCAACATTTAAGACAAGTAAAATAATATTGAAAGATCCTTGGGGAAAATAAAGAGTTACCTCCAAAGTAGAGTTGATTTTTTTCAGCACAAGCCATCCTGCCAGAATGCAATATGACATATATAAAACTTTTATATAAAACATTATAAAAGAAAAAAATGTGTCAGTCCAAAGCAGTATACCCCAAAAAATTATTCCTCACTATATATAATGGAGAAAATTAGGTCAAGTAAGGAAAATTTGTGAAACTATAATATCTTTACAGGACATACTAAAAGGAGTTGTGTGGACTGAAAGCAGACACAACCCAAAAAGTATAGTAAACAGTGGGGAAGTAAAATAGATTTTTTCCCCCCTTTTTAAAAATATTTAAGAGAATGTTTATAAGTCATACTGGTTTTTCAGTTCAATCATTGAAATTAATTTTGTTTTATAACATTGTAATTACAATATCATTCCATCGTATATACACATTTGCAACTTAACCCAGAGTAGTAGATGAAAACAAATAGGCAACATTACAAAAAAGAGTGCAGTAAAATTACAGCAGTAAAACCATACCTATTGATAATTACACTGAATGTAAGTGGAGTAAATGCACTAGTCAGGAGAAAAAGAGTACTAGATTGGATAAGAGACATGACCGTTCAACGTGATGTCTATAAGGCGCACAACTTAGGTGCAAGGACAAAGATTTTTACTAACAGTCGAAGTGCGGAAAGAATGAAAAAAATGACAGTCAGTAAAGGACGTTGGCAATATTGATGTCTGATAAAACAGTCTTTCATGCAAAAACCAGCCTAAGGGATAAGGTATGCATTATTGTAAAGAATCAATTGAATAAGATAATACAATTAAAGTTTGCATACTCTGTGACAGAGACTGAAGCTACATAATTGAAACATTAAAAGAAAGAGACAATTACACAGAGGCTCAACAAAGAGAAACTAATGAATAAATTGAATCACCTGAATCTTCTACAAAAGAAGATTTAGCACAATAGCACAGTACACATTCTTCTTGAGTACACATGCAGCATTCTCTAGCAAACCTCAATAAATTAAAAAGACAACAACATAGTACAAAGCATCTTCTCAGACCACAATGTTGTAATATTAGACAGCAACAACTTTAAAGGGGAAAAACATCCACAAACATTGAAACAAAGTTACAGCCTGCTTGAATGCTTTTGAATAATTGAAGATATTTACACAAATGAGAATGAGTACATATCAAAATCTTTGGGACATAGCAAAAGCAGTACTTAGATATGAATTTATATGAATAAACTCTCACAATCGTCACAATCACTCAACTCCTCCAACAATTAGAAAAAGAACAGCAAGCATAACCTACAGTATTTAAAAGGAAATAATAAAAGCAGTAGAGAGAATTGCCAAGACTAGAATTTGGTTCTTTGAAGGCATTAATAAAATCAACAAGCCCTGGCAAATTTAATAAAAGGAAAAGAAAGGAAAGATGCAAATAAAAAAGTAAATGGGTGATACATAGAATCAACTAAAATAAAACCAGAATACTTTAAAGAACTATGTTGTTGTGTACCATCCAATTGGAACCGACTCATAGCAGACCCTCCATCATATTTTCAGAAGCAGTAAATCCCATGGGAGGAGATTATCCATCTTCCTCCCACGGAGCAGCTGGTAGATTCAGACCTTATGCCTTTGGGTTGGCCATGTAATTTTTTACCTCTTAGCCACCACAGCTCTCCTAAAGAACTATACTCCAACAAATTTGGAAGCTTAGAGGAAGGTAGACATATTTACAAACTTACTGTCTTCCAAAACTAATGTAAAATGGTAGAATCTATGAGCATACTCAATACAAAAAGCTTTGAACAAGTCATAAAAGCACTCCCAATTAAAAAAAAAAAAGACAAATAAAAATTCTATCTAGGATAGCCTTACTAGTGAATCCTATCAAACATTCAGAGAAGGCTTGACACGAATTCTATGAAAAAAAAAAGATGGGATACTCTTGAATTCATTCAATAAAATATGCATAATCTTGATACCAAAGCCATGCAAAAACACCATTTAAAAAGAAAATCATGGACCATTATCCCTAATAAATACAGATAAAGGAAAAATGTTATTCTTCTTGATCAAGTAGGATTCATACCAGGTATGCAAGGATTGTTTAACATTAGTGCAACAATCGCTGTGAGAAATATAAATGTAGGAAAATTAGATATTGTTAAGAAATGGAACACATAAATAGTGACATGGTAGGCCACCATCCTTGCCTCCAAAGAACACTCTGGCTGCACCCTCTATTTGTTTGTTATTTTGGCAGTCCATGGGCTCTTCAGTACTGTCTCTAACACCACAGGTCAAAGGCATCAATTTTTCTATCCTCTTTATTCATTGTCCAACTCTAAAATGCATAGCAAGTGGCCTGAAAGACCATGGACCTGAATCAGACACATTTTAATCCTCAGACTTCATATCATTAATCCTCGATAATTTAGAGCTGTCTCTATCTACAAACACTCCCAGTGCAGCACATCTCCTGATTTTGTGACTGGGTACCAAATGTGTTAATTGTGGCTCAAAGTAAGATGAAGTTGACAGTTTAAGTCTTTTCTCCATCTGTCATCATGTTGCCTGTTGGTCCAGTAAAAGGAATGTTTTTCTGACATTGAGAAACAATCCCTATTGTATGGATATATGTACAGCAAGGCTGTATTTCTTGATCCTCTGCAATAAGAGCTTCAAAGTCCTCCTCACTTTCAGCAAGCACGTTTGTGTCATCTGCATAACGCAGGTTATCTATGAGTCTTCAATCCTGATGCCACACTCCTCTTCATAGAGTCCAACTTCTTAGATAATTTGTTCAGCATACAGATTAAATAGGTATGGAGAGAGAATACAACTCTGATGCATTTCCTTCTCAGTTTTGAACAATGACGTGCTCCCTGACTCTGTTCGCACAACAGCCTCCTGATCCAGGCCTAGTTTTCACATATTTTAGCAATTTAGTGCTCTGTGATTCCCATTCATGTCAACCACAACTTGTTATGATCCACACAGTCAAATGCCTTTTCAAAGTCAATAAAGCATAATCAATAAATACTCTTCTGGTAATCTTTACTTTCAGCCAGGATCCATCTGACATCAGCAGTGATATCTTTGGTGTGATAGCCTCTTCTAAATCCTGATTGAACTTCTGTAAATTCGCTTCTGTGCACTGTTCTAGTTTGTTTTTTTTTTAAATGAACTTCTGCAGTATTTTGCTTGCATATGATAATAGTGATACTGTTTGATAGCACCTTACAAAAATCCTATAAACCGTATAGACAACACTGCATGGTTCAAAATCAAGAAAGGAGTGCATCAGGGATGCATTATTTCTCCATACTTTTTTAACTTGTGGGACTTTATAAAGAAGAATGTGACATCAGGTTTGGAGAAAGACTCATTAACAACCTGTGCTATGCAGATGATACATCCTTGCATGCCCAAATTGAGGAGTGTTTGCTGC